ATCGGAGCTGCTAATGGCATCATGGCAGCTGGTTTTACTTTTCTGGTAGCGCCCCCGCAGTTCGGCCACAACCGAATCTTTCCAAAAAACACGCTGACCATTGTGTTGCTTGGCCATTATTTCATTATGATAATTTCGCACTGCCTCTTTCGGTGGCTATCTATAAAGTCGTTTTGCCGCCGCTCAGCTGACACACGGCCTGGCATTTTGGCAATAATAACAAAACACAAAATTTCAGTATTGAATTGTGATTCAACAGCTGAGAAACAAACAAGAGAAATATAGCAACAAAAACCCCCAGAATATTTGACAATGCAATTAACGTGAATTTGTTATTTTGCTAAAATGACTTTAGATGTTTGCCTGCGTTCTGGGTTATATAACTGTGCTTTTATGATTCCGTTCAAGATCGCAAATAAATCAGCGAGGAAATGCTTGAATAAACATTGATAAACATTTTAGAGCTGTGCAAAATTTGGTGTTCTTATCGCTCTTTGATTTGTGTCCGCCTCTATGTTGTACGATAAGTAAACATCATGATAAAACAAACTGAAATCGGAGATTATGGTACAGTGAAAACTGGCAAGAAGGAAGAGCTGAAAAGGTTAATATAAATGTTGGAAAATATGTATAAGAAGGGAAAACTAGAGATATGTTTACATGACTTTGAATTTGTGGGTGTATTTATTTAAACCTGTAAGAAATCACTGATGAACTTTCATCATTTTAGTTGCATTTAAATTCCTCTTGAATTGTGAATAGTGCTTAACTTTTTAGCACCCAAAAAAAGTTAAGACAACAATTTGTGTTGTTACCAATTTGCATTCCCTCGAAAGTGGCATACCTGTGGCAAAAACAAGTTCGACCCCAACTTTCCCACCTAATCAAGCTGAAGTGAGTTTATATATTTCGCTTATGATTTCATGGCAACACCGAAACCAGAATTACCTTCCTAATTGCTTCGAAAGTCGTACTACCCTCCCCCTTTGGGGCTTCTCCTCAGCTGTGTGTGTGTGTGTGAGTGTGTGTGTGTGTTTATTCCAGAAATCGAAAGCTGCTTCCAGCTGTCAATAGGTTGGCCCTGTGCCAAAACATTTCTAATGCGCGATACCAAGCGCCCAGCAAATCAGCAGCTGTCGGCAAACCGATTTAGAATCGATTCCAGTGAGCAACAGAGACGGCTTGAGGAATGGAATGAGACGGAAGGCAATCAGTTAAGGTTAACTTAACCCTTTGGGTGCTTAAAAAATTTCAAATTGAAAAAGTTAAAATCGGGGAAATAAAACATTGAGATTGAAAACAATAAGGATCTTAGGATGAAAGTTCATGTTTTATATTTTCAAACTAATATCTTCTATATTTAATTAAATATAAAATATTATTTCATAAGCTTTACAGTTTAACCTTTTAACCTACCTACCTTCTCAGTACTTAAATACCAATAAATTTTTAAACTAAATAACAACGACATAAATAATATTTAATAGTAACCAATTCAAACTTGAAACCTTGTTAAATTTTATATTTTACATTATTCAAAAACAATTTAAACAACAAATCAAGGCATCAAAATGAATAATCTCCATATTTTATTATTTATTTATATATAAAGTAAATAAAATTGGACCCCATCGATATAAAGGGTTAAACTCTTTGGCAGTAACTTATCTGCGAAGCGTTTTTTTTTGTACTTTTTGTTGTCGTATTTCCAGGTGTTTGCGGAAGCTTTGAAAGCTTCGGCTTCAGTTTGACATTAGAACTTCGACTTTGACGTTGTGTGCCGATCGAGCGAGAGCTATATGGTGTGGCTATAGCTATCGGAAATTACACTGCACTACACAAGACCCGCTTTTCGGAATTGTAGTGATTTTTCCCCCAAACAGTTGTGGTTTCCGAGTCGCCGATTGATTTCCCAGAATATATAAATAGTAGCGTCAAGTGTTTGTGTTTGTGTATGTTTCGTTTTTCTTTTTTCGTTCTTTCTCAACTCCCTCTGTGTGTGTGTGTGTGTTAACTTCGGGAAAAGCAGCGGGAAAACGTCGAGGAAAACCGGCAAAAGAAAAACTGACGCAATAGGGCAAAGTTGATGTGTTTGTTTACTACTACCACAACTACTATTGTTATTAACGAAAAACGTTGGCAATTACGCGCAAACTTTGCCACTTGGATGCGAGTCTCTGAGATCATTATTCGATTTTTAGAATATTCAGTAGATAAGACAGGCCGACGACAGGCAGACGGCAGGCAACGCGGCGTATACGTTATATGTGCCCCACTGTGCACCGCAGACAGTGGGCCTTCTGGCCGTCATCCTCTTTGGCGGCAACTGCACATTTAATTCAGTTGCCTCACGTTCGCGGCCTTTGATGCAACGGTTCTTTTTGCCGATGCCGACGATTTGCGATTAATTGGGAATTAAATTGTAAGAACGTGACGTCAGTTGTGAGGGTTCGATGTACTTGTGGTTGCCTTTGGTGGGTGGCTTCGTAAATTAATTTACTAAGCACATTGTTTGTGTTAACATTGAGTGTGTGTGTTGTGTGTGTGTTGTGTAAAAGGCAAACAAACCATAAGTAGAGAGAGAGAGAGAGGAAAACAGCTCGTTATGGGAGAACAAAACGCTCCGAATAAATACAAAGAAAATGAAAAAAATAAAAGCAAAGCGTAAACATGACAGGCACCAAGACTCTCAAAAATCTATGCTAATTAGCCGCCATAACAATAACAACGGGCGGCAAAAGAGCACATATGTTAAACGTATAAATATATATCTGTATCTTTGTATCTCACTCTCTGCTCTTTGAGAGCGTATAAATGTATCTCGAATAACAACAAGAAGGCCTAAGTGCAAAGCCAACAAACATACTCGGAATACCCTGAAAACTTAAGTCCAAGTGACAAATAGTGAATGCTGCTGAGTGAATGGCAAGAGTGTGTGGCCAAAAAGCCAATATTTTTCAAGGGGGATTGGGGAAAAGAAAAGAAAATTGCCAGTGTTGACCTGTTCAGCGAATTCTGAAAGTGCTTTTGATGGAGGTGAAAGGAAAAGTTCGAGAGGCCAAGGCATTTGGAAAATGAAATGTGGAATTAATTAAAAAATCATTAATCACATTCTCTTAAACTATGCATCAATAAATTAGTGATCGAATGGTCTTGCAATTAAATAATTATAATTATAATTGAGCTCTATTAATTATATTAAACAATAGAATAAATATAAAATACAATGAATTAATTCTATTCAAGATTCTAGAAGTTAACTCTATTAATTATATAAAATTAGAGGCTTCTTTTTTTATAAATAAATTCAAATTTTAAAGGGTATTAAGAGTGGCAAACAATTAAGATCTCTTTTAGACTTTAAATATTTATAACTGAGCAACAAACCGGAAGAATACTCTATATATTTTTTTAATCTGGCCAGAAATAAGTAAACAAAATTTTGTTTATATGTTTTTAGTTGGCTATTTGCACAATATTCTCTTCGAATTGTATCAAATGTGAAATAAAAGCCTTTTTAAATACAAATTTTCTATCCATGAAATATTTTTAAAGGGTTTTATTTTTTTTAGATATTAATTCATAAGAAAATTCGTATTAAAAATGGTTTTAAGAATTTATAATGGGAATTTTGTTGACTTAACTCTCAATGAAAGACTTCTTTTGATTAGTTTTGAATTTGCTTTGCATATTAAATTTCCCAAGAATCGACACTGCACTCTCGTTTTTTATTTCGCAAAAACGCCCCACATTTCTTTATCAGAAATGCAAAATGTATCAGCGATAGCCCAGAAAAGATAACTTGAAATGTGTGCGCGTTGCTCGACAGCAAATAATGTGAGCCCAAGGAAATCGATTTCAGTTTGTTGATATTATTTAGCAAGAAGCTCGAAGAAATAGAAGCAACTACATTAGTTCCACAGATAGCAGCTACTCATTTGTAGATACATAGTACGTCAGCAAGCGATACGAACGGAAGTTGAAACCAATTGAGTGTGGGTTCTATATAATTTTAGGGGGGAAAGTGACCACTGTCGGTCCTCCTAATTGGGATTCCCCCTCCTATGTCACACTGTGCAGAAACCAGGGATTGCATAATCCCCGGGCACAAGTCTAACCCAGTTCGGTGTGCAGTCTGAGACTGTCTGTGGTCTGGCACCTCGGAGACAGAGCCCCTCGGGATTCATTATAATACTTCTTAATGGAGGATGAGGATGATGGCCAGACAAGAGAAATTGAAAGCCATTAAGTACCTTTAAAAATAAAAGCGGCATACTACTAACCGCATGGCCCACTGGGATGATACATACGCTCTGTATATATATATCCGAGTTGAGATATATGTTTGCTGCTTCAATTATTCAAGAGTACGGAGTGAGCTGGCTGAGACTAGTGACCACAGAAAAAAAATCAAAAGAAATTACGCACGAAAAATATCTTGAAAATGCCATAAGTTGTATATAGATACACAGCACAGACTCATCAGATACAGATACAGATACACACGCACACACTCTTAACACTCGAACTGTGGCAAACTATTTCCGTATTGAGTTCTCTTCCTCGATGCCCTGCATCAGATCTATTTGGGCATATTGCACACCAGCTCTTGTTAATATCAAATTATTTCAATATGAGATCATTTGAGTTAGGATTTCTGATCTCTGTATAATTTATTTCCTTCTAAATGCCTTACATCTCTCACTAGGAAACATTTATCAACTGAAACACAAGCCATTTTCCAACTCAAAAATGTCTTTTGTGACATTTTTCAAATGGTATTTTCGGGCATATATTCATTCTTTGGCTTAAAATCCACAAACAAATTATGAGCGTGTTCCAAAAACATTCTCTAATATTTATGGATGCGCCAAAATATTATATATATATATTTTCGAAGCAAACATTTTTATTTTCATTTTTGTTTCATTTTATTTTCTTTTTATTTCGTTGCTTTCCCTTAGATTTTATGGGTTTGTTGTTTGGCTTTTGGAAATTGCATTGACCTAGAAGTTATATTGTTGTTTTCTTTCGGGAATCTCCAACTCTTGGGAATACCCTGCATTCCCTGTTTTGCATTCTCCCAATTTCTCTCAATCTCTCTCTCTCTCTATATATATATCTCTCTAAGTGTTTCTCTGTGTGTATTTTGAAAATGAGCATCATTATGAATTCCCGATTTGTTTTTTGTGTGTATATTTTTCAAATACATGCCTCTGTGCATCTGAATGGTTCGAATGAGTGTGTGTGTGTGTGTGTGGGAGCGAGTGTGGGCGATTTGGGGATCTGGCTCCCGGTTGAGATCGTGGAGGCCCATGGGCCCATTCCTTGTCCGTCGGTCGCCAGCGCCACGAGGAGCGGGAAACGCGATTCCGATTTTCTGTGCGCCAAACGAGAGCGAAAGTTCAGTTATTTCGATTTTCAATTTTGTGGTTTTCCTTAGGGGGAAACGCAATTTAATTTGGCCCAAAACAAAGACAAAGGCGCGAAAAGAAGCAACCTAAAAAAGCATAACGATTTCCGACGCGTGCCAAAGCGACGGGCGGTGGGCAGAGATGTATCCACACAATATAATATGATTTTCCGCTCGCCGTGCTCTTTCAGTTTCTTTTTTTTGTTTTCAATTTATTTTGTATTTTTTTGTTCTCTGCGGTTTTTGCCGGCTGTTGTCGCGAGCTGAATGCCGGCGGTTCTCCTCCGACTCGCGGTTCTCCGTTCAGTTCTGCTTGAGTTTCTGGCGACGAGTGACACACACAGAGGGCACTGCCATTAAACGACAAAACGAAAAACGAAACATATCTTAGTTCTATACAGATTCTACACCTGAATAAAAGACACGCACACAAATCTACACAAATCTACACGAATCTACACAAATCTTCCACTGCAATTGCATTGGCTTAAAACGAGGCACAGTGACATAGACGATGCCCAATAACCGCAATCGTAATCGCAATCGAAATCGCAATAAACGCAATCGAAACCAAAATCAAAATCAAACACAAACTCAGAATCCCAGTCAGGATCAGCCGGTGGATGAAGGGGAGGAGCAGGAGCAGGACTCTCAACCAGAGATAGCAGTTTCATCCTCGACAGATAATGATAATGGAAATTCTGGCAACGTTTCAAATGGGCCAGCACAAAGTCATAATAATAGCAGCATCGGTGAAGATGTGACGAACACTGTGGTGGAGAGCCAAGACAGCAAGGGAAACGGGGAAAGCGAGGAAAATTCGGTGGTACCAGCAACACTCATCCAAGAAGTGGAAAATCTAGCCGTGGAAATGGGTGCCAAGAACTCAAAGCATCAGAAGGAGAAGTCCGCCAAGCGAGCGAATGATGGAAAGGCCGAAGAGCAGGTGCGACCAGGGCCCACGATAATCCGAAGGCCACCCGGCAGTCCACGCCAGGCCAAGGTCATAGTGCATCGGATAGTAAGGGAGGAGGATAGGGTAGATGCCAAGGAAGATGCGTTCAAAACAGAAGAGAAAGTGGTGGTCAAAGAGCAGCCACAAGAAGAGGCAGCAGTTGAGCAAGAACCTCTAGAGATTATCCCTAGTCCGAAATCTGAAGAAACTGTAGTAAAGGATGATTCTCCAAAGGAAGAACCACCCAAGGAACAATTCCAACAGCAAGAGGCAGCAAAGGAACCCGAAGAGTATGTCCTGCAACTGCAAAAAGCCATGGAATTTGTGGAAAATGCACACAAGCAGCATGAGGCTCTGGTGCAAGATCATCAAAAACCAGAAGAAAAGGAGACTCAAGGAGATGCACAAGCACTAGGGCAGCAGGAATCAAAGGATAAAGCACAGAATCCAAAGGATCAAGCACAAAAACCAGACTTAGAAGTAAACTCAGCCCAAGGAACAGAGGAAGTAAAGTCCCCAGAGAAGCCACAAACTGAAGAGCCACCGAAAGTTATAGAAAAAATCCTGAAGCAAGTTCAGTTTAAAGAGAATCAGGAAAGGATTGTCCCAGAACCAGACCTGGCTCCTTCTCCCCTTAAGTCCCAGCACACCTCCAAGGTGATCATCCATCAGATACGCCTCGAGACCGACGAAGAAGAGCGGGACCGTAAGGGTAAACCCACCATTGAGGAGATCAGCAGCACTCCTGGCTCCCTGCTGGGCACTCTTTCGCCTCCTCCCCGCTACCTGGTAGAGTCACCCAAGAATGTGTCCGGTGGAGGACAGTTTTTAAAGTTCGCCCGGGATGTGCAGATCCAGGAGCTGGAGCTGACCAGCGATTGCAGTTCCGGTGAGTTCAATTCGCTGCAGTCGCCGCTCGTCTGCGAAGTGGACTCGGAATCGGAGGGATCCATAGTTGCAGCTGGTGTCTTGGGAGCGGAGCGATCTCCGTCGGATCCGCAGCTGCCGTCCAGCAGCCGAGTGGAGCAACAGGAGCAGCTGCGTCAGAAGCGCGCCCAGAAGAGGAACGCCCTGGAGTCGCACTTTTTGCCGCAGCTGTTGAATCCTCGCTACCTGGACAGCATCCTGGAGGAGAATGGTGAGGCGCAGTTCAGGAATTCCGCTGCTTCGTTAGCCTCCTCCTCCGGCGGAAGCGATCAGGCGGGGAATCGCACACCCAAGCTCAACGAGACCTTTCCCAAGAGCCAGTTGGACTTTAGCCGGCGGCACAAGCGGCGTGAGGAGGCTCCAATGCCCCTCAAGCTAGAGACCAAGTTTGTGGAAGAGCCCAGCGACCTGGAGAGCTGCTCCCGCCTCCAAAGCGCCTTGTCCCCGCAGTCCGAAGACGCTGAGTTGGTGTATCTCAGCTCCTCGGCCTCGAGCAGCGTCTCCGATCTGATGGAGCTCGAACTGGAGCAGGCTGCCGCCCTGGCAGAGCGGGCTCTGGTCGATCTGGACACGGATGCCAGCCGGCTGATCCATCGGCCGGATGATGAGATGAGTAGCACCAGCACCACGACGGCGGACAGAAGCGAAACGGAAGCGGAAACCGAGGCGGAGACAGAAACGGAGACCGAGAGAGAGACGGCGGAGAGCCGTGAGAGCACACCTGTTAACACACTCGCCGCTACGCCCACACCCACGCCCGTGCCAGCGGAGAGAGAGCAGCAATTGGCAAGAGACGCGGATACAAATGTATCTGGCGGATCGTCGGCCAGTTTCGGGGCAGCGTCTGCGCTGGCGGCCACGCGCGAGGAGTTCGTTCGCAACATGGACAAAGTGCGCGAGTTGATCGAGATGACGCGGCGCGAACAGGAGCAAGGTGATGATAACGATACGCCGCGTTCGCCGTCCCCGCCGCCGGTTCCCCCGCCCCCCGCCGCCATACACCAATACACCGTTCCCCCCTTAGATAGCACCCCTGCACAGTACACACCAAGTGCCACCACCTCCAGTCTCGCGCCACTGCAGCTGCCGGTACAGCTGCTGCGGCAAGAGTCCAATGACTCGCACTGCTCCGACAGCACCACCCACAGCCAGTGCACGGCCATCAATTTGGCCAGTCCCCCGCTTCCCAGCCACCCACAGCCACCCACTCCACCCATCCGGCAGAAGCCTGCACCCGCCACGCCCACTACCACGCCCACAACCACGCCTACGACCACGCCTATACCCCAGCCAGAGCCCTCAGAGCTTTCCGTTGCAGATCAGGACACGGATGCCATCAAGAAGCTGCGTCTGCTGTGCACCGAGCAGCTAGCTTCCATGCCCTATGGCGAGCAAGTGCTGGAGGAGCTAGCCACCGTGGCCCAGAACATAGCCGATCAATCGGATCAGACCAGGATGCCGTATCCCATGCCCCAGTTGCCGCACATCAAGGAGCTGCAGTTGTCACAGTCGGAGGCCGGCAAGTCCTCCTCCGCCTGGTTGGGTTTGCCCACTCAGTCGGATCCCCAGCTGCTGGTATGTCTTTCACCCGGTCAGCGTGAGCTGCTGGATGCCCAGACACAGCCAGATGACCTCCTCGATGCCCACCAGAAGTTTGTGGAGCGAAGAGGTTACCACGAGCTGAGCAAGGCTCAGGTACAGGAGCAGGAGCAGGAGCATGAGCAGCAGCAGAGCGAGATGCTCAAGACGGCGGCCATGATGCGAGAGTTGCGCAAGAGCCTGTCGCCTTCGAATGTGGATGCCGCACCGCCCCCGGTGCCGCCGCCGCCGGTGCCGGTGAAGAGCGCCGAAACGGCGGCCAAGGCGAATGCTAGTGCTCATCCAAACGCTAAAAGAGATGACGCAAGCGGGCCAAAACAGAAGATCGCAGCGCCGACGGGTGAATCGTCATCGCTTGAAAATAAACCAAGGCGAGCAGCTGATCCCATTGAACAGCAGCAGCAGTCGGCAGAGCACCGCCAGAGTAGCAGCACCATTACCAAAACAGCAACAGAGACCATGACGAGTACCTCATCCAGTGGCAAGTTCCCCACGCTGGACAGCATGGAGAGTGAGATGGCCAGGATGTTTCCGCAGCACAAGGCGCAGGACATCTTTGAGGAGCAACGCAAGCGCTTCTCCAACATTGAATTCCCCACCACTCAGAGGGAGAATCAATCGAAACGCTACTCGAACATCGAGACCAGCAGCTACGAGTCCAAGAAGCGTCTGGAGAATGGCCAGGTGGTGTACGATGTGAGCAGCTCCAGTCATGAGAAGAAGCAGGAGGGTGATCCGCCCCAAGAGCAACCGATAGCTCCGCCCATCCCCCCGCCGCCCATTATGTCAGCGGCGAAATTAAACGGCAGCACCTTCATTGATGGAGACGGTAAAAATAGCCAGCCACCAGCGAGAGAGAATGGTGGTGGTGTTGGTGGTGGCAACGGTACGTATGAGGAATTTCGGCAGCGTGCCAAGGCCGCCGTGGATGCCATTGGAGATCAGCAACAGCAGCAGCAGCAGCAGCAGCAGAATGGCTTGGATCACGACCGCGTGTTCAAGGACTTTGATCGACTCTCCCAGCAGATGCATGCCGAGCTCCAGACTACGCGGGAGAGGAGGGAAAAGTCCGCCTCGCTATACGATCTCAGTGGTCTGACCAGGTCTTCGTTTGGTCAGCAGAAACTGGATGAGCTGCAGCAGCGTCGGCATGCCCACATGCAGGAGTTGGAGAAGGAGATTGAGCGTTCGGCTAGGTCGCGTCAGGAGCGCCTTTCCTCAGTGCCCCGCCAAATGGAGGCCACCTCGCCGCATACCCGAGACATACCCATCGAATTGGAGCCCCGTTCCCGGCGTGCGGAATCCCTGTGCAACCTGAATGAGCCACCACCGCGTCCACACACCACAGTGGGTCACTACAACCACCCAACTTTGGCGCAGGATGACTGGTCGCAGTATGCCAGTGATCTGGGTTATTCGGAGAATATAGCCCGACCCTTTGCCCGCGAGGTGGAGATCTGCTACCAGCGCCAGAATCAGAATCCCCATCAGAGAGCTGCCCATGGCATCCGGGCGCCACGACTCTCCGCCAGCACCAACGATCTGAGCAGCTCCAGTCAGTACAGCTTCGATAGCTACAATGCCTACGGTGGACGCAGGACCCACGCCCCCATGCTGAACCAGGCCCAGCAGCAGCAACAGCAGCAACGTCCCCACTACGGCAGCTGCTACTCCATGATCGAGCGGGATCCCAATCCGAGGTACATCAGCACCACATCCAGGAGAGGAGTGAGTCCCGCGCCACCACCACCGCCTGTGCAGCAGCATCAGCAGGTGCCGCCTCCCGCCTACGATCGTCAGCAGAGGAGGGCCTCCCTGCCCCGGGAGCTGCACGAGCAGCAGCTAAAGTACATTCTCTCCAAGGAGGAGGAGCTCAAGCTGGAGGTGGAGCGCCTGCAGCAGGAACGTCGCCGCCTGATGGAGGAGATGCAGCGGGCTCCAGTGCTGCCGGCCCCGCAGAGGAGGGAAAGCTATCGGCCCGCCGCCAAGCTGCCCACCCTCAGCGAGGATGAGGTCTTCCGCCAGCAGATGGCCGAGGAGTGGATGAACAAGGTGGCCGAGCGGGAGGAGAGGCGTCAGCACAAGATCATACGCATCTCCAAGATTGAGGACGAACAGGATCACTCCGCCGTGGACAGGGCCACCATAAGCGACGAGTTCCTGGACCGTGTCAAGGAGCGGCGACACAAGCTGGCCATGCCGGCGGACAGTGACTGGGAAAGCGGAGCGGAGTCACAGCCCCAGCCACATAACCAGTCCCAGGCGGAATCCGATGTGGAGGCACCACCAGTGCGCATACTCGAGGGTCAGTCGGAGGCCAATCTCCGCCAGCTGCCACGTCATCTGCGGGAATTTGCCAAGTTCTCCACCAGCGAGCAGCTGCCCGATGGCGGCCAGATGGAGCGCCACGAGGAGCAGGAACGCAGGGAGGAGGCCACGGACAACACGCACAGCAGTGCCAGCAAGAAGACGAGCATTGTCAAGACCTACAAGGTGTCGCGGCTGCCGCCTTCCGTCCAGGGTGAGTTACCCGGCCAGCTTTCCGGGGGAAAGCGGGGCCGCTTCTATCGGGAACGCTCGCAAACGGCACGGCTCGTGAGTCATAACATCCCTCTGGAACTAACCAGTAACAGCTCATCGCCCGACTCCGACTCCCATCCCGGTTGTGGTTCGCCCTCGGCGAAAGGTTCCTCCTCCTCCATCCCAAAAAAAACCTCCTCAATCCCATCCTCGGCGCAGTCCCCAGCACAGCCCCCGAATGATCCCATCCCTGAACCATCATCCAGCTCTGCTGGTATCCTGGGTACCGCTTTGTTGGTGGGTTTATCCCTCCTGACTGCCTGGAACAAGTTCAGCTAGATCGCAATCCCTTCTCCCACTCCCAGATCCCACATTAAGTCACATTTCGATTGGTAGTTTTCGGAAATTGTATAAAAAATATACGTAATATAACTAAAAAGTTGCTCATTACATCCGCGATTCATGTACAAATTATTCACAAGTTTTTGATTTGTTATACATCAAGTTGGAAATTGTGTTTCGTTATATTTTTAGAAATCTCTGAAGGTTTGAAATCACTCAAAAAGGCATCTGAACAAAGAAATTCAATAATCTAAGAGAATATCATTCATTTGACCACATATTTAGAAGATTTTTAATCTTAAAACTCTTGAAAATGTATCTTAAAGATGTTATAATGATTTCATTTTGAAATATTTTTTAAGCTTACAGTTCTTACAGGACTTCCGAATCTCTTCTGATTCAAAATTCCTCAAAATGTATCCACACCTACTAGAAGTACATCATATTCACAGAAACCTTTTTGAAAGATTTAAAATCTGTTTCGATTTCATTGGTGACCAGCCATCCCGTGCACAATTTTACACACTTCCATCCACATTGCCACCACTTGGTGTTGTCCTATCTCTCCGTCTCTCTTTTGTAAATTTCTATCTCTTTCTCTTCCGATTGTTCATTGCTCGCGAAATCCTATTGCTCCCTTCACACAGACGAGGCCACAGAATCCAGCTCCAGGAGCAGCACAGTCCACGGGACAGAAACAGATCCTTTTGCCGGCTCCCAAGCGGGCATGATCGGTGGAGATCTGAACGAGTTCTTCGCCGGCTCACCCTTCCGGTCGAAAATCTTCGAAGAGTTCGACAAGTATTGGCGCAACTTTGGGCCCTCTGCACCCAACACTTTCTAGGCAGATCCTTTGAGTCGCCAGCTGAACCACAAACCGAATGCTTTAACCGCCTCTCCTTGAACCCCGACCCCTATCCCTGACCCCCCGGCAGCTGCATGCCGCATTTCCCAACCCTCAGCTCATGATATATATATATATATGAACTATATATGAACGTTGAAGATTTTGTCCAATATTTTGTTTGTGAAACCTTGTTAAATGTTCCAAGAATAATAATATCTAAATAGCAATAGCCATAATAAAGTGAAAACGAGAATTATGTTTAGTGTTGTTTAATGTTTAATAAACGAAACTATTTGATTAACCAAAAGTTGTTTATTTGATTTTGAGTATTTACATTGTTGCATTCATATAAATTCTTGTATATACTCTGCATGTGATTTCCTATATAGTTGTGTGATTTGTCCCAAAAGAGAGGCTATGTGCTTGAAAACTAATCCATGTTTGTGTAAAATAAAACAAGATGATGCCTTGGGAAGTTGTCAGACAGGAATAAACAATAAACTACTCAAGGAAATTAATCCTATTCTAATCTATTAATTGATTAATGAACTAATTTCAACCTGTCTGATAGCTTTTAAATGCTCTGCAATTAAGTAATTGCTTAATCCTAGACTTAAGTTAATTGAAGACATCATTTGGCTTTGTAATTTGCTAGCTTTGCAATCGGCTTAACCCATCCGCGGCATCGTAATTCAAATCCAAATCCCCTCCAGAAATCCCCCTCTCCACCCCTTTTGGCTTATCTGCCCCTCAAGAAACGCAATCAAAAGCTAAGAAAACGAGAATGAAAAGTAAGAATAAGACAAGAGACTGGCCGAGGCGAAAGCGAAATTGCGATTATGCGGAAATTTTAAATTAATTCCATTCAATTGCATGGACACAAAGTGCAGGCCGACAGACGAATCGTTTGTTTAAAAATGAGAATTACGAAAACGGGGGCAATTGAGCTAGTACGAATGCACAGAGAAAAACTAGGCAGTCAAAGTCTTAAAATCTGATATCAAAATATATGTAGAAACTATTTTAAAACAGTCTCTTTTGGGCATGATTCAAACTCAGATTGACTGGAATTTCCCCGTAACTTCTCCTGTAATTAATTCCTTCTCATAACAAATAATGATTTTGTAAGCATTTTCTCTCTGTGTATGCATGCAGACAGTGGCAGTGGGAGTAAGGCAACGATGCCTAAGATCTAACCGAATGCTATCGTTCAGACAGAGCCACCACATCCCAGGCAGACGCATCTCCTCCAGAATCCAGGGGAACGGGAACAGGCATGGGCATGGGGCTGGGTGTCCGGCTGCGACCACGCCCACCCAAGCAGACCCGCTTCCTGCTCAACGCCCAGCAGCTGCAGCAGCAGCGACAGCGACGCAGCTGGTCCGAGAGCGATCTGCTCAAGGAGATTGACAGCGAACTGCAGCTGGCCAAGGGCTTTCTCTATGCAAATGGTGTGTCAGAAAGTACCCCCGCTCCTTTCCCACCTTCCCCTCTGTTTAATTGTATTTAACCCTTGTGCTTTCGATATATATATATTCGTGTAATTATGTTAAGTTTATTAATAACCCTTTGCCATTTATATACATTGAATTTCGCACATCTGCCTGAAAGTAGGCAGCGAATTTCGATTGTATGCTTACAGCATATTGCGTATACGACGTGAGGGCTACGCGGTCACTTGCCACAATGGGAGCCAACATATATACACAACACTATCTCGATCTCGATTTGTATCTGTATCTGTTTCTGTATTTGTATCTGTATCTGTATCTGCAGTGGGTCCATAATTTACGACCCACTTGAGTCGAAAGATCTCTCTCTATATGCCTCTCCTTGACTCTTTCGCAGCTTCCTCTCCTCCTGTATCTCTGTTTACGAAAGCATAAAAAAGGCTGTTGTTTATACTAGGCTATGAAACTGGGGGAAAGAACATATATGTATGTATGTATATGTGAATTTTTGGATTTTTCTATCGGAGAATGAGAACAGCGAGATGTTCAACAAATTTGTTAGGCACTGCGCTCCCCATACACACACAAATTGAGATTTTTCTTCTCGCCTTTTTTTCGGGTGGGGGGGGGTTATGCCTTCGAAATACGTTTTTCGAGACGAAAATCCAAGCAACCTGGCCGAAAATTCAAACCGTTTCGTAGTCGTCGTCGTGTTAAAGTCGTGTGAGCAACGCCAAGGCGCGTCAGCGGGCGAGAAAAAATAGAATAGCAAAAGAAAAATTAAAAAGATATAGAAAAGCCCGAAGTCGGAAGCCACAGAGATATTGGAAATCAGACAGCAAAAACGAAGTAGTCTCCATCTATATTCTTTCACCAGCTAAAATGGGGCAGGGTTAGTTGAGTGTTTTGTATTTCTCGAATTTGTTTGTGTTCTCCCCCATGAAAGCTAAGAGATATGCGTGCGTATCTTAAAGATCCATAGCAAGTGCAGTGAAGTGAAGTGCAAATTAAGTGACGAATCGATTCTTAAATCTTGTCCTGTGCCATTTTTTGCAGAGCACACACCAGGCACGGCCACCGCCGCAATGTTTGCGCCGAAATTCAAGGCGCGCGCGCCCCCAGGCTCAGGTAAATTGTGCGAGTATCTGACGGATGCACGGATGCATCCGCCGACGCCCACGACAAGTGTGACAAATGGCAAAACATGACGTTTTCAGCGGGCCATCTTTTTGATGATTTCGCCGAGTGTCAGAGGCAGGTTGAGTGGATCTTTCGACGGAGTCAACTTTCCACCTTTCCGCTGACTTATTCATTTACCAAAATTTATGGCCCGTATTTATAGATCATATATTTTTTTTGGGGCCAGCCAACTGAACTTGATTTGGTTTTTTTTTCTTTTTGGGTGTTTTTGTTTATTTTAAATATTTCACATTAGTTCGCACGCTAATTGTGCACAAACACACACGGACAGATTGAAATTTCCACATGATTTAGGCAAGCATTTTTCTTACGGAAAATCCAGCATCCAAAAACCAAGCTGGAAAACGAGGTGCGCCATGGCTAAATATATAAAATGACGTAAAGTCCTAGCAGAGAGTATGGAATATTTATTACAATATTTGCAATGTTCTCAATTGTTGTTCGCTTTTCCCATTCGTGTTAGAGACGCCCACGCTGGCATGCCGCCTTTTACAGTCTCCAATAAAAATGCCAGCTAAATAGAATCAACAAGGAGAGGAGGTACTGGGTCCTACCCTCCGCCATGTCGCCATCCATCCACGATCCATTTGATGTTGTTCTGGCCAAGATTTTCCATTCACCAGAAGAATGGAAAGATCGCCGTAAAACCCCTTTTCGGGGGCGTATGCAAATCCATCAAAACTTTCATTCTTTGATTGCCGTCATCTGATGGCATTATCTTTGGCTTTAGGAAATTTCAATCTCTCTTTCTCCTACACACTTTTATTTAAAGCATTAATTTGTATGTTGTTATTTTTAACATTTTCACCCCCCAACCCTTCCTCCCTCACACTTTTTTCTTTCATTTTTTTTTTCGTTGGTTTTTTGGCCATGCCAAAGAATGGAAAATATAAATTTCAAGACTTTTAGTGAGTGAAAATAATTTATAGTTCGGTATAAATTCAGTTGAACTTGAACGAATCGCTTGCTGGCCATTGGGATAGCGATTTAATTTTGTTTGATGACGTTGCCATCGGTGGGGATTATCAATCTATTGAAAAGAGAACTTAATAATAGGAATTGGAAAAGAATTTTTTTGCAATGAGTAGATGAATTTACTAATTGTGTACAAATAATGGGAATATTCAAGGAGATTCTGTTATTATTTCTCAGAGAAATAAACTTAATTTTATGATTAAAGTTAAAGAAATATGAAGAACAATCTAACTAAGCCTTTAATGATGCCAAATAAATCGTTTATGGCTTAAATATTAAAACCATTTCACCATAGGGGATTTTTAAGCTATAAAAGTATTAATAAAGATAGCTTAGGAATATAGATACCAATAGAATTTTTGTATTTTATGACCCCTTTTCCAAAACAACATAAATTACCCGAAACGATGATCTCGTTTATTAATCCCATTGACTTTAAAACTGAAGAACTTCCAATCAGTTCCGGCTGAACCGCAAATATGCACTTCATAAATAACCCCAAATGGAGGAGTTTCCCCCTTTTTTCCTTCTCCCACTCACATTCCACATAAATCAACTCAGGAAATGCTCTTAATTTGCCAGAGCCCAGCCGCACCCATTTCCCATTTCTACAATGACAGGTCGCACTCCGTCTCTCGGAACTCTGGCTCCCAACTCCCGTTGTCCCATTGTCGGGGACAGGTTGCAAAGATCCCCCAGATATGGCACTCCTCCAGAACTATTTACACCCATCCCCCACACACACACACACGCACACTTTGTGTGTGAATTTTACAAGGCCACAGAGAGTAGTATATTGGGTTCCGCTATTGGAAAAACATTTTACAAACTGTCCAGAGTTAAAATTAAAAAGTTCCCTCATTGCAGGGGGACACAGAGAGAAAATTTAAGAGACAAAATTAATATAAAATTTAGTAAAGTATATAAAATATATGTGCATAAAATAGTATTAAATTTATTTAGGTTTAGTTGAGAGCTTAACAAGTTTGTAAACTTGAAAATTCTGTAAAGAAAAAGTAGTAAAAATGTATAAGAAAAATATTTATTTTACTTGGAAATTAATATTTTTTGTAAGTAAGAACGAAACTGAGGCCCCATAATTAGATAAATTAATTTAATTTTAAAAACATTAGCTACCTTTTTTAAATAGTTTTGCTAAGGAGAAGTTCTGATTTATTTATTATAAAATTTGCTTTTGCATTTCAGACTTTAATTTCAAAGCTTTATATCTAGTTAAATATAGTTTGAAATCATCTCTATTTTTCCCCCTGTGTTCACCTCTCCCATAGTTGTTTTTCCTGAAATGTTTTTTTTTTTTCTTGTTCGCAAATCGATAAAATTTGAAATGAATTGCCTCGAACAACGAAAGCCAAGCGAAATGCGACTTCTGCTCGACTGCGGGCGCTCCTTGCGGGTGTGTCTCCCCAGTTGGCTCTCAAGTGTTCACTATTAACATTTTACCAAAGCGAATTTCAATTCGGATTTTCGAATTTTCCATTTGATTTGTTCTAAAGTAGAGAGCAAAATAATATGTAGTATGTGTTGTATGCAGTAGTGGCCACCGGAAGTGCCAAGCCAAGTCAAGCCAAACCAAATCGAAATTTGTGCTTTTGTTTTGGGGGATTTCTGCTGTTTGTGCCTCTGGCTTTGCTAAAGAGTGTGTTGTTTATACTTTTGGGTGACTTTTAGTAGCTCTGGGCTCTTTAAATAGGTTCACTGTACTCCGCCGCACACATTTCCGTTCCATTTCGCATTGCACGCATAATTGGCGTTGCCCCCTCGAGTTTGCCCCTGTCTCCGGTTGATCGAGCAGCGAGCTCTGAGCGAGAATTGTAATTGATCTTCTATTTGGGGACTGCTCACTGGGTAATGTGGCAGAGGAGCAGCCAGCTAAATGGGTGTGTTTGGCCTTTTGTCTTGTCCCAGCCCCACCACGGCTACTACTTCCACTGCCACAATTCCCATTCCGAATCTGAATCCGCGTCCGCGTCCGAATCCATCCCCATTCCCGGGCACTTAGCTCTGCTCGACGCTGGCGAGTCACGCAAAATTCAGTTCGCCTCGAGCCGTGCGCGGAGTCAGCAACTCAATCAGAGAAACGCTCTCAAAACCGAAAACTGAATCCATATCCGTATCCGTGTATCCCATATCCGTGTATATCCATATCTGCTGTCTTAGGTAAAGCCATCTAGATAGTTTCGACTCAGTGACTCAGTGCGGATTTGATTGACATTTGCAAGGAGAAAATTTCCTTTTGATTCGATTGTATAATTCAATTAAGTGCTGATTGAATAAAGACGTCAGCGGACGACGCCCACACCAAAGAACACCAGCGCAGCATCACCTACACCTACCTACACCCCCTCAGATCCCCAGATTCCCCTTCACCTCTAACAGCTGCCCCTTCTCCGCCACCATCATCAACCCGTCACCAGCGAAAAGCCAAAGAAATCCGCTAACAAAAAACCATCGAAATACGTGTCAATGTCTCGAAGGCAGTGCGCCTAGGGCATCTTCAGCTGTATCTGTATCTGTACATCTGATGATGTATCTGTATCTGTATCTCTGGCAGCGACTGCGGCCAGTGTATCTGTGACCGAGTGTTTTGTTTTTGTGGCTTTCGTTTTTTACAGGTGGCAAATAAATCTGTAGAATGAAAGATTTTGGCTAGACCCAATGCAAAGTTGCATAGACATCTCGCACGGGTTATTTAACAAGTAGCGATATGATAATGCCACAAATTGGAGACAATTTATTCTGATTAATCAGAGATATATCAAGATTTCAAGTGGTTAACTGCTGATGAAATGGTTAGATAAAATGCCAGTCTTATGAAGATTGCAAAACGGTTACAAATTGTGTTTAAATTGAGCTGTTAAATTGGATAAAATTCTAGGTGATTTCTATCAAGTTTGTTTCTTATAAAATATTTAAATTCTAAGGGATTTTCTGGTCTAAGGTATCAGAAACTTTTTCTGTAAGCTTTTTGTTTTCTAATTTTATTTATATTAAAGTTCTAAGTGATTATTTAACATAGTGGTAAAAGTGTTCTACATTTTATCCATTAACTCGGAAGGATTATATATAGAAAGCTGATTCAGAATTGTATACAAGGACCTTAATTGAATATGCTTTTAATGTCTTAATTACTTTACTATAATTTAAAGGTAAAATACCTTAAAGATCCTTGCTTTCTATAGGTTTTAAAAAGGGTTTTTCTTAGTTTTTTTTACCTTTACAAGTTAAATAATTTAGTAGCACCTTTGATCAACCTTTATGGCACACCTCGCTGGGTTCTTTAACGGTTCGGGAATATAAATTTATACCATCTCTCTCTCTCAGTGTGTGTGTGTATTTTTGTGAATGCTAAACATGCGCCAAATGCGATGACTCATACCCAGCGCCTTACACTCCCAATCGGTGTGTAAGTGTGTGTGTGTGTGTGCTTTGTGTGTTGGCCAAATTTTGAATGGCTGCCAAATGGCGGCTTCCTCGGTCGCCGTCGTATTAATTATTGCTGTTCTACGTCGCTATGTTTGTTTGTCAATTTGTCTTCGCATTCGGTTTGTTGACTGCCCAAGAAGCATATTTTTTTTTTAGAGGCAAACTGCGGTTTTTAAGCTCCCAGCGAGCATGAATTTGTTGACAAGTGTAAATGTCGTTGCGGAAGGAAGGGGAAAAACTCAATCTCTGAACTCGCCGGCGCCCCTGAAAATGTCATCTGTCTGCCACACAGATCCACCGAACGCCCACACATTATCCCCACACCCACTGAAACTCTGCCACTCTCGACAGGCGTGTGGACACCTTATGGTTCCAGCGGTGATCTAAATCAATCATCCGCCACATCGGCCACACCCCCGCCCCCGCCGCCACCTGCTCAGCCTGTGTGGACACCGCAGCCATCGCCGGCGCTCAGTGGCCGCAAGGAGTTCCGTCCCGTCCGCTTTGAGTCACCCACTCTACCGCGTCGCTACACGGCCCTGCAGCATCAGCAGGATCAGACTCATCCATCGACGACGACGACAACGACCCCGCCGTGGTCGTACACCAACGGAGAGAGTGCTCCACCTGTAGGTCCACGTCCTGGCAGAGCCTCTGTGAACTCCAACTCGGACTACGCCGAAACCGATTGCTCTGGACACTTTGGCCCCGTGGCGCCCAGTGCCAGTGTCTCCGATAAGATCAGAAGTACTATATTCAGAGTCCTTTCTCTAAAGTCTAGGTTATAACCTTAACTCAAAGGGAATCAATTTTGGTATGTCCCTTTGAGTTTGGGTTATCCTTCTCTTGGTTTCTCCAACTATATATTGTTCCCTCCTCCTTGGCCCTTTCTGGGTACCCTTTTCGTTCTCTCTGTCGCTCGATTCCGCTAATGCTCCACTATCGTTTATCGTTCTTGAAAAGAGATTGAACGTTCGTCCTCCAACTCGGAGCTTCAGAGGCCCTTTGTGCGGCGCCAATTGTCCGACGCCAGTCGCCCAGCCTACAGGCCCAATGAAGTCAGTAAGTATAGCAGTTCCTTGGCAAGTGACCCGGTGAAAGCGAGCTCACGATCGTCGATGCAACACACTGAATGTGGCTGTGATGTCTGTGCCCTCCGTTTAACCCACACACAAAAAAAAAATCAAAGAAAACCCAAACAAACCCAAACTGAACCCAAACCGAGACCAAACCAAACTAACCTTAAATCCATCTGCGGTTTCCAGTCTACAAAGTCAAGCACGAGTATATGAGCGAGCCGGAGACGGGCAACGATCGTCCCCGGAAAATGGCACAGTTAGGGCGAAGGCAGTACGATGGCATCGGTCCGGTGACCAACGATGGAATGCCCATTATCCTCAGATCGGTAAAAATTATGGGATAGTGAGGGGGGTGATTCGAGTGGTTCCATCTGATACGAGTATCTTCCTTATCCCTATATACACATGCAGGAGGTCCAGGAGCCGCATCAGCATGAATGGTACAAGCGTCTGTATCAGACAATTCACAAGCAGAAGAATGGCGGTAAATTTCCCAAACACTTTTCCCTCGGTCTGAAGCATTACCAGCTCCTATATCCATTCCCATTTCCATATCCATACCCAAGTCCTCCGATTTATCCCATTCCTTATCCCCTAAATGCTTCAGTCAGAACTCTGGTATCCTCTTAAACAAAAAATACCCTCGTTTCTCATTCTCCCATTTGCTTTCGCCTCAAGATGATTTCGTGATTCGCTACAAGTGTCCCAGAGGTGATTCTTTGAACTATAAACTACGCTATCCCCTAGTAGTCTCTCCCATCTAATTACCTGCTTTCGCCTGTACATACAGACTGAGTCCTGCATCCTCTTACAAACAGTAGAAAAGGGACTCAGTGGGTCTTATTATTATTATTATTATTTTGGTTTACCTGCATGTTGTATTATTTTGGTTTTATCTACATATGATTTCTCTCATGTTCCCGTGTCTAGCTCATTTGAGAATTTCGGAAGCTTCTACTAAAATTTCAAGACTAACCTACTATAAGGCCTAACTCACACCCAAAAAAATACAGCGCTAACATCATGTCCGCCAGTACACCACCGAGACAAAGTAATGTTTATGATTTGTAGAGCTTGAGAAACCGCTTTATGCTTCTCATTCCCAAAGATATAGCCCCGACTAATCAGAGTTTCTATATCCGTTCAGCCCGTCCCTCGTACAAGAGCAACGGATACGTCTCCGAGCCCGAACCCAACTACGACTCCGACTACTCCACAGTGAGGTACCGCACCCAGAATCCGCACCGAGTGCAGTCCGTTTCCTCGGCTGTCAATGTGCGAAACCTCAACCAGGACGAGAAGTGAGTGCATACATGGAGATTCTTAAAGAGAATTAATTAATTATCTATTTCTATAAACTTCAGGTTGTATGGTACTATGCCAAATCCCATAAAGTCAGCGCAGAATTCATACAAGAATCAGCCAGGCCGCATTGAGAACTATACAACCGGACATTCGTCGGTTTCCGAAAAGGAAAAGAAGGAGGTAAGTGAGGCTTACTGTCACATGATGATCTCACGCACAAACTTTTCATCATTGAAAGATGCTTCTCATCTCTTGGATGATTCCAAGTCACCATCATATGGAGCCTCCTCACTGGCCTATTGCACCGACACCCTTACTTGCTCTATGTCCCTGCCTTTGCACATATTCATAATAAAATTCCTCGCTACCCGAATCGGGTTCATGATCATGCACATTTCACACTCACCATTCACATACTCAGACATTCAGTTCGCCTCGAATATTCTAACTCACAGCAATTATTCTATTCACAATTCTAGTGGTGGGACGAAGTGATGGACATCTTTAACGGGGTATGATCTCTACTTTATAATACTAGCTTTAGTCTTAGTTTATTTACGTTCCGATTGAGTTACATTCGACATAGTTGAGACCGTTCTTTCCGTGAACTAAACCAAACCCAAATATCTATCTTTGCTTACCGTTGTATCTTTCCTTGCCTACCAAAAATGCCTGATCCATATCCTTCGCAAAAGTGGCTTAGGGAGCATACACGCATCCCGCGTATTATCATAGAGTTCGTTGATGATTTCGACGGCAATGGAGTAAGTTTCTCTGGACAGATCGTTGAGAAAGCGAGGCAGGAATCATTGCAAAAGGCACCAGAACTACTAATTGAAGCCACTCGATCAAAAGCAATTCTTTATTGTTTCTAAACTCTAATGTTGATACTTTTTCTTTACCTTCTCTAGAATCTAGAACAATCGAAACTCTCGCCATTGTATACTGAAGGTAACTTGTCCAGGTAAGCAGCTCTATGCTCTAAGGATTAGCCTATTTCTGATCATATAATAATCCCTCAGAGCTCTGGCCAAGGAATCTGGTTACACCAGCGACTCGAACCTGGTCTTCCGCAAGAAGGAGCTACCCGTGAGCAGTCCCTTGAGTCCCGTGGAACAGAGGCAGGCCTACAAGAGTCTCCAGGCAGGCGGAGAACCTCCACTGCTCGGCTTCCGCAAGCCAGCGCCCGAGAAGCCCCGTGGTGAGTCCTAGTTCCGTTTACCTTTATTTTCGGGAAAGTTGTTACCATCTAATATCTAACTTAGCTGTAAGTCGCTGGGCTACTCTACTCTACTCTACTCTACTCACTAATCCTGCAAACGGTGTTGGTTCCAAGGTCTATCCTATCTTTCTATCGTACACTGAAAACTTTGTAAGCTCTTTGTAAGCCACCAGTTGCCCATGGTTTCCCCATTCTCACCCACTCTCACTGCTCACACCTGAAGTTGTATTAGTCCGTCCACCACCAGGATGTGGGCGCCACCAAAAAAAAAACAAGCACCACCGTTAATGGCACCCAGGCACCACTTAAACCCAGCAGAAGCGGCTGCCTAATTTCGAAATTGATTTCTCGCCTTTCCCCAAAAGAAATTGTGGAGGAATTTGAATTCATACAGATCACTCCCACGCTCACAAAGATTCGAGTGAGCACCAAGGAGCTGGAAGAGGACGAACCCTTGGCAAAACCACCAATTTCATCAATACCACCACCTCCACCACCACCACCGCCTCCACCGCCGCCGTCACAAACAAAAAAGAAGCCTGCGAAAATGTTCTCGCAGCTCTCGAAGACTCTGCCCTCGTTCATTCCCCTGAGCAAGAAGCAGCAGGCTTCGCAGGACGAGCCACCACCAAGGCCGCCCCACCGCAAGTCCAGCTGCACCAAGAGTACGGTGCGAGTCCTGAGCTCAGCCTCCAAGTCCCGGCATGAGCAGTGCTTCCAGCCGCCGAATGGAAATGCCTCCGGTGTGTCCACCATAACGCTGAGGAAGGTGGCCACCTCGAGTTGTTCGCGTCGGGAACCGATTTGTCGCTCCAAGTCAGCCGGAGCGGTCTCTACTCTCCTGCAGACCCTTACGGCCACCAAGGAGACTCGTCTTACCCGGCGGGTTCAGCAGCAACAGCAGCAGCAGCAGGCGTCCCGCTTGAGATCTTCAAGTCCTGGCAGGCGTCCCGCCCGACTCTTGGCCTTGCGTCACTCCAGCCGCAGTCCAGTGGCCTTTGGCCGCAGCATTTCCAAGGAGCGAAGTTTCGCCGAGGAGAAGAAACGACTGGAAAACACCTTGCCGGCGAATAGGACCAATTTTGAGGCCAGCACAAATATCCTAAGGGATCCCTCCTTGAAGTCCCCCCAAGAAGTGAGGGAGGCAGTTCGTTCGTATGCCACTTCCCGAAGCAAGTCCTTGCCCAGACTTCGCCACACCACGGTGAGCACCACCACACGGCAGACCATGTGCTTCCCACAAGTGCGACCCCAGACGCTTCTGGATTGTGGAACACGCTCGCTGCGAAAATCATCCTCCAAGGGCGGCAAGGGACAGACCAAGACAGGATCCAATGATAGCCTGCCCAGGAGTAACTCCACCTTCTCCATTGATTCGCTGGTGCGTACGGAATATGTGCCCATAGCTCCACCAAAAACGTATGTGAGCAAATCCAGGGGTTCAAGCTCCAAGGCCCTGGTTCCTCTCCAGAGCAGCCGCAGCGAGGGTCATGTTCCACGGAAGCGGCAATCCGGAAAATCAGCCGCCAAGCCGCCACCTCCGGTGACCGTTAACTCCTACACCGAGTCGGTGCGCGAGAAGACCAACTTCTGGAACGATTACAATGCCAAGCAGGCCATGTCCCTGCCGCAGGAGTACAAGTTCGTGCCAGAGGATGTCTGTGACTTCTCGAATCAGATTCAGATCCAACAGCAGCCCTGCATTGAGGACCTCGTGTGGAAGTACGAGGGCAAGGAGCAGCGTCCTCCCACAAAACCTGTGGCTGTCACTGACATAGCTCGTCCCCTGTCGCCTCAGTTGAGTCAGGAGCGTCGCTTCTCCCCCACACGGGAGGTGCGTGTCCCGCAGATCAACCGGGAGGTGCGTTCACCTTCCCGTCGTCGCATCGACAGTCTGCGCTCCAAGGACAAGGAGCAGGCGGTGGCCAGGGCCAGCAGCCTGAGCAGCGCCGATGAGCGTGGAAGGAGGACCACGCCTGCTCCCACCAATGGTCTCTACCAGTGCGGAGAGCTGGCCCACAGTGCCACCTCGTTGACCCACCTGGAGCGGCATAGCCCGAGCTGCCGGTATCGCAACAACTGCGAACGCTTCACCGAACTGAATCGCTTCTACAGCACCCTGGAGCGGGTGGGTCAGCTGGAGAGAGCCACCTCCTCGAGCAGCTTCCATCCGTTGCGCAAGGATGCCGAGCTCCTGGACTTTGATGAGTGGCGAAAGGTGCGACTCCACGAGCGGGCCGAGAAGGAGCTGCAGTACTTGGTGGGCAAGTTGCAGGATGACCAGAAACAAAGGGATCTCCACTACCGCTCCAAGGATGTGGACTCTCTCAAGTGGCGTCAGGAGGCGGATCAATCGCTGATTGCCAAGAAGAAGTCCGTTGAGGATCTGCGCGAGAACTTCGAGCAGCTGAACCTCCTTCGGCAGCAACAGCAGCTGCAATCGGAGCCAGTGCATCGTCACTGGCGGCGCAATACGGTGGCAGATTTGGCCAGCAGCCTGGAGCATCGCATTGAGGTCGAAACCGAGCTCGAGCCAGAGCGTCACTTGGACAATGATCTAGTAAGCACCCTGTCCAAGGATCAGATCAAAAAGATCACCCAGCAGCTAAATGAGATCTACTCGGGCAACCGTCAGGCTCCAGCTGTCGAGGAGCAGTATGTGGTCACCGTGGAGAAGGGCTCTCGCCCTAACGGCCTGAAGGTACGCTGCAACTCAAGCATCTCCAAGGAGCAGCTCCTGGGACCTGTGCAGCGTAAGCGGGATGAGCATCAGGCCAACCAAACCCTGCCCCGCGCCACTCGCAGCCAATCTCCAGTGGTGGTGGCCAGGGAAACCCGAGGAGCCATAGCGGCCAAGAACGCAGAGTTGACCCTCTCAAAGGCGCCAGAAGTGCCGCCCCGACCCAAGGCCACGACCAATCAGGAGGTGAAGAGCAAGCCTATAACTAAAGAGACTCCCAAGGAACCCAAGGAGGATGCCCGTGAGCCTGCCGAGAACATAAACCAAAAGATTCAATACTTTGAAGATCGTCAGTTCGACGAGCCGCCCAAGACCATTTACCATGCCCGGGAGGACTCCTCGCCCGACGAGGCCGAGGTGATGCGCCTCATCGAGCAGAATATGCAGGAGCGCCAGCGTGCCAGGCAGCTGCATCAGCATCACCACCAGGAGCTGAGCAACTCCCTCACAGATCTGAGCGGCGTCTTTGGAGAACGTCCCGCGGCCAGGGTAAATTTTCACTTGCACAGCCCGCCCGATCGTCCGCCCGACGATACCGAGCTTATCAGCTTTGGGAACGGGTCACCGGATCCCGCCGACGCCAGTCTTGAGCTCTACTCGGACTCCTATTACCGCTCGCGTAGTTTGTCGCCTCAGTCCCAGGCCTCCGCCTGCTCCAGCTCCTACCTGCAGCGGGTCTACACCGGCGAAGTGCGCAAAATGCGACAGCACTTTGAGAGCATCCAACAGTCCGGGGAGCAGTCTCGGGACCAATCCAACGAGCGCCGTGATTTTTTTGGGCTTAGCTCGCTGCGGAGGGCGCGCAGCGATCCCGAAGTGAGTGCGGGATCCAAAGACGCCCCGGACACCGCTACGGAGGCGGTGTCAAAGAAGGAGGAACAGCCGGGTGATGTCCCTCGACTGACCCACAAGTTTGAGTTGCGTGGCGCCACGCCATCACCGGAGCGTGGCCGAAGGCGCCAGCGGAGCGCTCAGGATCGACTGATGCCACATATAGACATCATTAGCAAGACGGCGGCTCTGAAGCGGGAGCTGCCGGTGCGAGCGAGTCCCACGAGGAGTGTAAGCAGCAACAGCCACTGCTTCGAGCGCCTGAGGATGCGCTACGAGTCCCCAGAGCCACCGACCCAAAGCTACCTGTCCACCTCGCATCCGGATATGCGGGATGTGCACGATATATCGCCACACCTGAGTGCCGATTGGGTGGCCCACAAGCATCCGCAGCCCTCGAAGCCGGAGGAAGTGCTGCCCAGGAAACCACAGCGAGTGGTGGCTAGGGCCAACTCCACATCACCACCGCGTCCGGCCAGATCGCAGAGTCACCAGCTGGGCTCCCGGCTAACCAGCTGCATGAGGGACATCTTTGCCAATCAGAAGTTTGATCCTTACAAGCATCGTCCTAAGGCCCGCTATGTGCCCGAAGGAGCAGAGACTCAAAAGAAGGCTCCTCCTGCCAGTAGCAATGGAACCCTGGAGCGTATGAAGAAGACCATGGCGGTGACTTTTAAAGGTGACTTTCCTATGACTATAAAAACTTTCAGGGAGCAGTGGGTATGAGGGTGGGTCAGGGAACTCTAGGGCAATCCTTCTAATCTATGCTTCGTTGGTTGCCTGATCCCGTAGTGCTAGTGCTGCTGCTGCTTTTGGTTACTCCTCCTTCCCCATTGGTTTTTAAACTGATTTCCAAATTATCCCTTTACTCGTATCTCATCTGTAAATCCTTGGCGCAGATCTCGACCCGAACGCGCCTCCCATTCCCCCACAGCCGCCAGTCAAGGGGCTCTCCGCCTACGATTACTCGTACAACACCGACACCGTCGACGGATCAGGTGAGTGACCAAGTTAAAGCCAAGTCCGAGCTAGCTACAGGATTGCTGAGTAAGGTCTTAGTAGACCAATAAGGATATATCCTTAACCATAGTGTAATAATATTCCCAGTGACAAGAGACTCTTCCATCTTGAATAACTTTTACAGCGTTCTCGTCCTTTATATCCTACCCCTCTTTTTTTTGGGTGTCCTGCTGCCACTGTAATTCGTTAGCCTTTGCTAAAAGCATTTTTACTGTGGCAAACGATGGGTAATTTCCGCAATTGCTGCAATTTCACTTTGAAGGTGTGCCTTGCGCCTCGGTTGACCAAATTAATCGATATCACCAATGAAAACGCCGGCCACGCGGACGGCTCTGACCTGCTTAGCTCACCAGCTCACCACCACCTGTCCTCCTCCTTAGTTCACCTGTTCGAGGGGGTGGTGCTGTGTGGCTGCCGGTGGGGTGGCTACTGGCTCACCTTGCCGGCGCGTGCAGTGGTGGCGTTGCCATGGCCAAGACGATGCCGTCAACAAAACAAACTGGAAACAGACACGACGCGTACCTGTCGCGGCCGTTAGTCAGTTCCACTTTTCCGTGCCAATAAAAAACGTGTCTTTCGGCCTGTGCTCCGTTCGGAAAGAAAAAACTTACGAATTAAATGTTTCTCATCCGGTCTCCTTATGCAACTTTTGCGCCGGCACCATGATCCATCAGACATTGGCTCCGCATCGCAGCCAATCCTCCAGCTTCTCCAAAAACAAGGCAGTCCACTGGCGAAAGAAGTTGCATCGCAGCTGCAATGACCTGGAGCTGGAGGATTATGACGATGGCAACCGATTTGTTGAGTCGCAGAACTTGTGGCGCAGCTCGGAGATTAACGATAATCCCTGGCAAAGGCCGCAAAGCAGTGGCGGCAATAACAATGGTTCCTTGCATCATGACAGTGTGTGTGATATACCCAATTGTGGTAAAATCCTGTGGGTACATCGTCAGAGTTACGAGGCTCCCCTGAGGCCACCGCCTCCTTCCCACTATCAGGGCAGTGGCTCTGCTGCAGCTGCGGCAAGTGGCTACCACGTGGTGGGCCTGCCCCACACTCCCCAGCCCAACCAGCGGCAAGCTTACCTGGCCAATCAGCATGCCATTGGAGCTTCCATGCCGCTGCTACTGTGGCAACATCAGCAGCAGCAGCAGAAGCAGCAACATCAGCAGCAGCAACTCTTGCAACAGCAGCAGCGATTGCAGCAGAGGTATCAACAGCGGCAACAGCAATGGCCAAGCAGTTAGTATTTATACAAGAAGATATATAGATAGATTCAAGTAGTATAGCCACCGATTAATTATCAGATCTTAACTGGATTATAAAGTATTCAAAGTCAAACAGCAACATCAATTAAGGTTCTCTAACCTTCAGATTCCTCTTGACCTTAGTTCTCATAAACTAATTCCCAAGGTGTTAACTACTTCCTCAAAATTAACACACACTCAAACTCAATTTTTGTGGCCAAAACAAGCAGTTAACAAGACAACCGCAAATGTTGGTGAGCGGAACTATGGACCCCCAGCGAGATAAAAGAAAGCCAAGCGATCGATTGAACCCCCTCTGGGCTCCCATCTGCCACCTTACACCTTCCACGCCGCCCAACTCTCTGTGCACTTTCTCATTTGACTAAGCGACCTTCCTGTTTTGCACTTTCTCACGGTTTTTCTTTTGCAAAAATAAAAAACGAAGTAAAACTCGTTATCACCTGAGAGAGAGAGAGAGAAAGAGAGAGCAACATAAACAGAGAAACAAAGCGCGATACAGCGGGGCACGCTCCACACGTTCGATGCTCCAAAGTCGTTGATAAAAGGCTTGAGGCTGTGTGAGTAAGTGCGAGGAAAAGCTCACTTTTTTACTACGATCAAGATGGGGAAGCTACAGTGGGTCTTATCAGTGGGTTGTCAGGGGAAAATACTTTAATGCTTGATTGATAAAAAAAAAGGGAGATAAGAAGGTATGTTTCGTTGCTGCGTATTTATTAGCCTATAAATAGAAAAAGTTAAGAGATTAAATAAATATTCTGGTATCAGTTAGGAAACATTATTGCCTTGATTTACTTTATTATTCTGCTAAATATAAAATTAAATTGGATCAGAATAGACACTTAAATTTATTAAAGCAGGAGCTAAATCCAGTTGTGAATTGTAAAGTCAAATCATTACAATTCTTTGTTGTTTTGTTACGCTTTTAATTTGAAATAATATTATTTTCAAAGCTTTAAAAATGGTTCCTGGTTTCCGTAATATATATCTTTACATTTTACCCGATTAGCCCCATTGTACCAAAAATACACCCACCCCACTGTCGCAGCAATTAAACGTGAGGCGCCGCCACAAAACGGAACTCGTAGTAATACAACCGCCGCTATCTCTGGGAATTACTCAGCCGGCGGAGAGTCAGCAGAGTCTCCCGAAGCTTCGTCTTCTGGTCTTCTCTCTCTCTCTCTCGCTATCTCTCTGTCTCTCTCTGCTCTTCGCTCTCCCCGTAGTCTTCCCTCTCTTTCAGTGCTTAGCTGCCTTTGGGGCTGCGCCATTCAGTTTCGATTTTGATTTCGATTTCAGTTGAGCGCAACGCGTGCTACGGTAAAGTCGGTTAAGAGTCTTCTCCCGCCCCCTAATTCTTCCGCCCCCCGTTTCCAGTCTTCTGTCACCCTGTCTCCCCCTTCTTCCCGTCTCTTTCCCTGGCTCAAGTGAAGCGTGTAGCTTGTTGTTGTTCGCCGATTCTCCGCAGCTTTATCAGACAATTGCCTTAGCCTTCGATTCTGATTCTAATTCTGATTAATTGTTGTTGTTATTGTGACTAATAAGTGAGCTACCCCAAAGAAAATGGGAAGGAAAGAAAAGCACTTAAAGAGTTAATTGAGCGTGAAATGCACGGAAAAGCCTTGAAAGGCTACAGTGTATCTTGTATCTATAAAAGTATAAAAGCAGTAAAAGATGAAAAGAGGCAAAGTTTGCCAAGCATAACATATTCAAATTGCGATTTTAATTGCATATATTAACATTGAAACAGAATGTAAGAAAATGCATACTAGACTTTAAAGATACTTTTTACTTTGAAGTATCTGTAAGATATTTCTCGTATCTAAAGCAGTCAGTGTACATGAATGGGCTTTATTCCGACCTTGATAGTAATAAATATTATTGAAAACCAAAAGAAAGCTTCATAGATAACCATATCGAATTGATAGTGCCTTGGAATACCATTTTCCCTCTTTTGCCACAAAGCACTTTCAAACGCTGGCAAAAATGTGCCGCAGCGAATCAGTGAAAGTGAAAATCCCCCGAGTGTCAATTAAACCGCTCTTTCCACCACTCACTCCACCCCACCTCCTGCACTGACTTGGCGTAAACATCACGTACAAAGCGGTTGTTAATTGTTGTTGTCCAAAGACAATGCTCTGCGGCTCATGGCGTATTTGCTGCACAAATATTTGTGCAGCCGCACCTCTCACCTCCGAAAGGTTTCCCCTTGACAGATTTCCCCCAAATCGTGTCAATGGAAGCCAAGTTGTTTTCCATCTCTATCATCATTTTCCAAGTTTCCAGCTGCGCAGTTCCATTAAGGAAGGCATCAATTGAATCGAATGGAATCGGAGCAATTTAATGCGAGATAGCTTCAGATGCTCCAGACTGATACGGAAAAGTCTTGCGTCTTGGTGTTTTTCCTCCAGTCTCTGGCCAATTAACAGCAGCATTATCTCCAATTGCAGCTAATTCTCTGGTTGGGAGGGCCGCCACCTAATTCAATTTGAGATTGTGGAAGGCCACTTATTACCAGGGGGGGTTATCAGGTGGATGGCGCTGTTTATTTGCCTTCCAATTGGCAGACAGATATGTGCTCAGCCCAGCCTCAGATAAGCCAGTGTGTTTCGTAACAGAAGCAGTAACGAGCATTTGCGGTTAGATCATCTTACGACTCAGACGAAGGGGACAACACTTTGTTGTTCTAAGGGTAAACATTGAGTACACTGAGGAGAAAAATGGGTTTGTACTTACAAAAAACTTCTAAGGAGATATTAAATTAAATTGATGTGAAAGGAACTTGTACGAGATACAGTACAGAACTTTAGATACACTGAAGACAAGATCCCATATGCACAAAAAGACAGTGATCCCCTTTAGGAAAATAAATTCTATTGGGATATTTGTTTATGTTATTAAGCTTTGTTTATAGCAGAGGAAGAGTTTCTTTCAATAAACAAATAGTTCTTGTTCTTATCCCAATGACTGGTCTTATATTTCCTTTCTCTTAAACCCTTATTATGAAAACTTTACTCTGACTCAAGTGTCTTTGGGAAATGTTTATGTGTAAAGATCCCCCACTAAAAATAAGTATCTAAAATGAGTAATCCCTTTGTTCCTGGTCAGATAAAAAGGGGGTTAGGGGGAACCAACACAACAGCTATATGGTTACTTCGCTTGAGCTTCAGCCTAACCCGCCTTCCGCCGCTTTTGTGCCTCTCATCTGAACAGAGTCTCCCAATCGTTACTATGCCACAGACGTGAACATCCACTTCAAGACCCCGATCAGGCATGAGCAGCGCCAGAACGTGCCGGAGGAGGAACTAGCCATTCGCCAAGCGGAGCATATGCAGAAGCTCTACCAGGAGGAGCGTCGCCGCAAGTATCTACAGGAGCTGCAGGACATGAACTCGCGCCGCCACACGGACAACTTCACGCCCTCGCAGAAGTCACCCATTGCCCTCAATCGCTACGATGACTTCCCCACAGACGTGACCCTCAAGTCGCTGGTGGGCCCAAAGACGGTGGCCCGGGCTCTCTTCAACTTCCAGGGACAAAGCTCCAAGTAGGATGATTTTATATGAATTTATTTGAAGATGATTAAATATAATTAATGTGCTTTCAGGGAGCTCTCCTTCCGCAAGGGCGACACCATCTACATCAGGCGACAGATCGATGCCAATTGGTACGAGGGCGAGCACAATGCCATGATTGGTCTGCTGCCAGCCAGTTACGTTGAGGTAAGTTGTTAAATATCTACAAAATAGTAAAGATATATGGTAAATAGATCCCCAAAATAATAGAGTTGGGTTTTTAGAAAGAAATAGCTTTATATACTAAGCAACTTGATTCAAAATAGAAATACAATTATCAAGTAGATAAAGAAATCTTCCGGTTTCGAGTCTAAATATTTATGATTCAAATTTCTGGGAAAATTATACTGGTTTACTGTTTAAATTAAGTTCATATGCGATTCCTATTTTTTGTGAGTCATAGACTTTAATTGAGTCATTAGAAAATCAAAGTAGAGTGGGGAAATAGATAGAAAACTGACCGAAATTCGAAAAGGGGAACAGTGCTGATAGAGAAACTCTGTAGATAATCTGAACACGCCTTTTTATTTTGAACTTAATTGGGATTTCGACAGCACTTTTAATTGAACAAATTTCTATAAAATTCCAGATTGTCAGTCGTGATGGTGCCCGCACTCCATCCAAGCGACCCTCGGAGGGTCAGGCCCGTGCCAAATACAACTTCCAGGCCCAGTCGGGCATTGAGCTCTCCCTGAACAAGGGTGAACTGGTTACCCTGACACGTCGCGTGGATGGAAACTGGTTTGAGGGCAAGATAGCCAACAGAAAGGGCATCTTCCCAGTCTCCTATGTGGAGGTATGTCTTAACAAATCTGGGTTTATTTAGATATTTAACAGATAAACCCAAACAGGTACTTACCGACATCGGTGCCGAGGATATTGCGGCCAGGACAACCACCGTGATCAGCACTCAGAGCACCACCAACCTGCGTCCCAATCTGGATGTGCTGCGCACAAATATCAACAATGAGTTCAACACGATCACGCAAAATGGAGCCCAGCCCCCGAATGGCATCCTGAAGGAGACGCGAACGATTCACAAGACGGATGCCCTTCATGTGGACACCAGCTCGGAGCCTTTGGCGTATGTCATACCTTAATATATATGGTTTCCAGAGATCTCTTAATAAAAGGATTATCTCCTTTTCTGTAGGTACCGTGCCTTGTACAAGTACCGACCACAGAACTCCGATGAACTGGAGCTGCTCGAGGGCGATGTGGTCCACGTGCTGGAGAAGTGCGACGACGGTTGGTTCGTGGGCACCTCACAGAGGACCGGCTGCTTCGGCACATTCCCCGGCAACTACGTGGAACGGGCCTAAGGAGGAGACCGATCCGATGGATGGATGATCCTCTAATCTTAATGAATTTTATGAATTGTAGTCTAATATGAGGAGGAATCAGCGTGGCCGTGGACGAAGGCAGTTCTATGATTAATTCTGATTTGGTTTAACTGGATTATTTTATGTTGTTGTTGAATAATTCTTATCCTGCTAATTCTGCTGCTTTCGTTTTGCCGTAATTTAAAGCTATTTATTTAATTTTAAACAGATCATTAATTATATCAATGTTGGAATTACGTTTATTTATGAAAAAAAAGCAAAAACAAAAAATATTAACCAGAAAAGTTGTACCCTCCTCCTCCCACTCCGAGACACCCCATTCACCCACACAAACCTACACAAACACACACACCAAATATCAAAGGAACTCTACATTAAGATCATACATATATATATTTTGTCGTTTACCTACTAATTTTAACTAGTCACAGCTAATTTCCAAAAATCAATTACAAAAAAGAGATCATGAAGAAGCTAGTGGAGACCGTTGAACTAAAGTGCCTTAAAGTTGAAATTTGAATGACTAAAACGTGAATTAAAACAAAAAATATATATAATAAACACAAAAATAATATGAAACAAGTGCTAAGATCCCATGTGCCCCTTGTTGAGTCCCGCCAAAGGGGATTATTATTATTATTGATAATTATTATTATTATTTATGATGATATTGTCGAGTCCGAACCAGCAGAAACCATTTTATAATCATTACAAAAAGCGTTTATTACACAGACACTGTTGCAAGCGTATTTAGTAAATAAAGAAGAAACTAAAAAACAATTGAAATTTGATTATTTTGTGTGTTTTAAGGGTGTATTTCCTAAATGAAAAAATATAAATTGTGTGGAGGTTCTAAAGAGATTTATTTAAAAGAAATTTGGAAAACTTAAATGGTATTTAAGGAATTGTAATATATAAACAATTTTATATTGCAATCATTTAACCAAAACATTAATTAACAAATTTAGTTATAGTACCTCACATTTTTAAATATATTGCTATGCTTTACCGATACATTTCAGAATCTAATGTATAATAATTCTTAACATAAAGCATAATTTCTCCTTAATATTAGTTTAACAATATCTAGCTCCTTGAATAAATTATCCTGCTCCTCTGACGACCGACCATCACGTTTGTGCCAGCTTCCGTTTCCGTTCCTGCTTGAGCTCCCGCTTCACCGCTCGCTGCTCCAGCTCCTCCGTGTACTCTGCGTACATCGCCAGCAGTGCGGGATAAAGCTTGTGATAGTGTTGCAAATCCTCGACGGTCACCTGCATATTATCAAAGGCAATGGCCACCTGCTGCATATCCTCGGCACTCGGTAGCCGCGGGCACTTGGCGTAGCGCTGCGAGAAGTGTGTGAGGATCGTGTGGCGGGCTCCCATAGTGCGACCCTGCTGTATGGCCTGCGACACGGTGCTGTGTGTCTTAAAGCGTGCCTCCTCCTCCAGATCGTCCTCCATGGTGGCCTCGTGGATGAGCACTGTAGAATCGCGTCCCAGTTCGACCAGATCCAGGCAAGGCATAGTGTCGCCGCTGTATGTAATTTTTATCGGTTCATTTTCGTATTTCGCTGCCAGAGTAAGACTTATTCCAAAGGAGTTTGGACAGTGCCGCACCAGGCAAGTGCCAATGGAGTTGATGCCTAGGGGCTCCACTCTCTCACCCGTCAACGGACTGGCCAGGAGCTCACCATTAGCCACGAGAGTGTACGAATCTTCAATGGGCTCGATTTGTCGGTTGTAGAACTCCAGCCAGGGTTCAATTTGACGCGGAGCAAGCAGAAGTAATGGTTCTGTCTTCGGTTCCAGTTTCCTCCTTTCCCTGAGCAGGCCAATCAGTCCAATGTGGTGATCCGCATGCAGATGGGACACATATATCACATGAAGCTGCCGGAGAATCTGTTCCGCTTTAGCGGAGCCATAAAGCCGCACAATTTGGCCGTAGGTACCTTCACCACAATCCAGCAAAGCAAAGGACTCGGCAGCAGTCTTGATAAGAATGGAGCTGACGTTGCGGGTCTTGTTGGGAATGCAGGATCCCGTGCCCAGAAAGATTATCTTCGGGTAGCTCTCGTCCGAGTGGGCAGGGAAGCTGTACTCTTCTTTGAATTTCGCCAGGAGCTCTGTGAAGCCGGGCACAGCATGCGTCTCCTTTACGTACTCCTCAGGTGTGAGTTTTGCCTCCAGCGTGCGATCCAAACCTAAAGAAAAACGGTTTGTATTGTACCATTCTTGTCAATAATTTGTTACTGCTTAGCTTACCTTTTTTAGGCCTCAGATGAAAGCTGGTCATGGAGACTACGCCCTGTTCCGACTCCTCCCCGACCTTCGAGTCCGTTTTATCGCAATCGTCCGTTTCGTCCAACTTGGTTTTCTTGAGGTTCTGACTCAGTTTCTGACTTTGGCAGGGCATCGACTCACCCAAAAGGGGAAAGACGTGAGGGGCAAGTTGATGCAACTGATGCTGGATGCGATGGGCAGCAGCATAGCCAGAGAACTGGTTGTGCGGGGAACTCAAATGGATGTGCTGTGTACCCGGAGGGAAGTTCTCCTCCAGAAAGTGCTTGTAGTCCTGCAGGGAGGCAATAGGATGAGGCGTGAAGTGGACAACCAGGCGTACTTTAGTCAACTGCTCCTCGTCCAGTTCCTTAAGGCGTTTAGCTTGGGCTAGAAGTCCTGGCAGATACTCTTCACTGGGAACATCCAGGAAAACAAATGAGAGTGCCGACTCACTGGGCTCGGTGACATCAACTGAACGGACCACCTTGCCATCGGGCAGAGTGATGTCCTGGCCATTCTTGAGCTGCCCCAGAAGGGGACCCGGCTTCACACCCTGCTCCACGCACTTGACCAGGTTTAGAGCCCCGGCGCGTGGTTTCAGCTGGCAGATGTAGTTGATAACGCTCTTCTCTGGATCCTCCGAACTGATCAGCGGCAGGGAGTCCACCTTCAGGATGGAGTCCTCGAAACAGCCGCCCTCGGAGCAGTCAATTGTCTGCATTTGAAGGTTCTTTAGCACCACAAAGCGTCGCATGGACTGCAGCATGGTAGCAAGATGTGGCGGTCCATGAAGTCCCACGTTGCGCACGCCGGCATCCTGGATGGTCAACGCTAGACCTGGTAGACCGCCCACAGTTGCCCACGTGTTCCGAGTTACAAAGATCTGCTCGAGACGCGACAGCCGCGTCTTGTGCTCGTGGGCCAGTCGCTGGGTTCCCTCGCCGCAATTGAACAAGTAACGGGCTTGATCGGTGAACAGATAGACCGCAGCAGGTGCTCCATTGGCGCCGGCACCCAGGATTTGGAGATTCACGGATCCGGGCACAACTGATGCCAGCTTTTTCCTCAAAACATTCGGTTCTCGCTCGTAGCGGGGACCTGTTAATGGATCCGTGGCAGATGCCAAGGTGGCTTCCACCGAGCTGCTCATCTTTAGAGTGCGCAGGGAACTATAAAGCGGCCAGCGCACGGATTTCAATAAAAACATTCGTATTTCGTCGACCGCGGCAGTAACGTGCCCGCGAACAGCTGTTGCGCCTGAATATGAAACTTTGTATTAGAGATGGAACTTGTGTTAGGGATGATGCGTTTGATTCATCGCAAGTATTAATAAGGAAACTTATAAAAATGAATTTTCCTTTGCCAGTAATTAGTTATTTCTTTAATTTTAATATCTTTACTTAAAATTCTTACATTTCCTTTGTATAACCATCAAAATCATTCAGCATCCCTGGTAATTGTCGCTTTCCAACACTAAATTCGTGGTATTTCTGTTCTGCTGCACTGCGGGCACTCTAATGCCCACGTGCGTTTTGTTTGGCCTTCGCCGGCGCTGAATTTATACGAATTTACACGAATTTCCAAGGATTTACAAAGATTTCTTGCTCTTCAGGACACCAGCAACTGCGGCAACATGGTCTTCTTTACGTGCAACGTCTGCGGCGAGTCGGTCAAGAAGCCGGCTGTGGAGAAACACTACCAGACGCGCTGTCGCAACAGTGAGAAGAACGTGTCCTGCATGGACTGCCTGAAGGACTTCTACGGCGAGGAGTACGTTGCCCACACAAAGTGCATCTCAGAGGCGCAGAAGTACGCCAGCCAGAGCCAGGGTTTCGTGGTCAAGGAGTCGCGCAATAAGAACGCTCAGAAGCAGGAGAGCTGGATGGACATCATCCGTGCGATCCTCGACAACAGCGAATACAATCTAACGCCCGCCCTGCGCTCCTCCTTCCAGAAGCTCCAGAGCGTGGACAATGTGCCGCGCAAGAAGGCCAAGTTCGAGAACTTCGTGGGCAACTGCATGCGGATGCCGCGCCAGCAGGCCGCCCAAGTGTGGGACATACTCGAGAAGGAGTTGAACAAGATGAAGGAGGCCAAGCAGGCGGAACTGGCCAGGATAAAGGCGGAGAAATTGGCAGAAATACAGAAACAGCAGCAGGAAGAAAAGGAGGCTGAGGAGGCGCCTCCGAAAAAGAAGTCTAAACTAGAGGAGCCCACACCCGAGGAGGAAGCCACTAATGGCACCTCCGGAGACTTCGATTGGTCCGCCCAGCTTACCAAGATTGTTGGCAAGCAGGCAGATGGCATTTTCCTGGAAAAACTGCGCAAGAAGCTTCTCAAGAAGTACGCCAAGCATTTGTCTGTGGAGGATTTGAGCGAAAAGCAAGCCAAGAAGTTCCAGAAGCGATTCGACAAGCAACTGAAGCTCTCCGAGGCCCTGCGAGTCGACGGCGATCTCGTTAAAGTTGCTAGCTAGCGGAGCAAGCCAACTTTAGTCGTAGTTAAGTTATAACGAAGGACAATAAATGTGTAAGCTGCAAGTGTAGTGTTTTTATACCGATTTTAGGCCTTATACTTTAGGTACTGCATGCACTGCCTCAGATGATTGCGCGTGGCTTCGCACTGGGCTGTTTGGTGAAACCGCTTGACGGGACAGTTGAGGATCATCTCATTTGCCACGCATTCGAGCACCAAGCCGGGATACGGATGACAGCCGTGCTTGGAAAGGCGCCTGGCTAGTTTTTTGACAGCCTTATGAGGCAGAAGTTCAAGAGCTGTCGAGGAAGATGGTGTAAGTGTTGAGAACATCTCTTGGAACCAGGGACCCACCATGTTTGTCGCACTTGATGTACGTCTGATAGAGCAGCTCAATATCGTCATCGTTGACCAAATCCATTTCCAACTGTTCCTTAACCTGGTCGAGAACTAGCGACCGGCGATCCTTGCCCAAGAATTCCGTGCTGTTGAAACTGCACTCTGCGGTGCACTGATCAAAGACTTAGTTTTCCGTTTTTATAGTCTTTTTCTTTATAGACCTTACAAACATGTAGGTCTGCTCCTCCTCGTCCGTCTCGTATGGAATCTTCTCATGCCACTTGATCTGGCAATCGCTAAACTGGGGACTCTCATCGTGCAGGTCGCAGCAAAAGTCGTGCTGAAATATATACCCGATGAAACTCGAAAGACCTTACTGATCAGACCCACCATAGTATCCACTGTATTCAGTTCACAGTCCTCGTCCAGATCGGGAGCCGCGGCCCTGCCCAGAGCCCAAGCGGGCAGAAGGAGCAGCAGCACCACTTTCCATAGTTGGAAACACATTTTCCAAATTACCAACTGAGTAAATCTGGCGCTTTTATAACTAAAAAACCGCGCTGTAAAGGTTTAATTTTGCGTAACATTTGATGGCTTTTAATTTGAGGCTTAATTTATGCTTTTAATTATTCCAACCGAAATTTGCTTCAACCAGACAGACCGGGTGCAGCGTCATCATAATCATCATCTTCGTCGTCGTCATCGTTCCGCTCCAGTTCCTGGAACGCACTGCAGTTCCATTAGCCCGCTGCACTCGAAGATAAATGATGAAAAGGCGCAGGCATCCATCACCGATCAAGCGGCGCAATATCCAAATATAGCAAAACTATCCAGGGCTCGAGAAGCCACGCACTTTCTTGATTGCTCCGATGTCTAGGCAAGTAAATGCATGCGGAAGCATATTCCCAGTCCCCAAACGCAATCCCAATCCCATTCCCATTCCCACACCCATTCCGCTGCGTTCAGCTGCAACTAATTAACCGAGAAATACATCATAAATAGTCAAACTGCCGCGGTTCCAGTTGCATCTTCGGTTCCAGCTCCTCCTTGCCAGCACACGACCGTCATTAGTCAGGGAGCAGACGTTGCGTCGCTGCCTCAGAAGTTTCCATTTGTTTATTTTAGACTCGCACACACCCCGTCGAAGGCAAGGGTGTGGTGTGAAGTAGTGATGCCAACGACCTATAATTATACATTATAGTTATACTCTATATAGGAAGATAGATTAATTTCCTATTAAAATTACTTATTGATATTTTAAAGATTTATTTTTAAAAATTGTAAGTATGTAGTTGTCTTGCTTAGGTTTTAATATTTAGTTTTAAGTACTCAATAATCTTAGGAGTTAAATTTTAGACATCAATAAAATAAGCACCACTGCAGAGCCATAGGGGCATGAGGAGAAATGGGTGTGGAGGTGAGTATAGGCTCCGGTGGGTGCCTGTGTGTGCGGTAGGTATTCGCTGCCGCTGCGGCGCTCCATGGTGGAATGCGATTGGGGTATTTTTTTGGGGGGCAAGAGCATTCGAGCGGCACGTGCCGCCCGCCTGAAGTTCAGTTCTCCGGAATTGGAATGACTGCGACTGACTTGCTGGGCTAGGAAGCTAGGCCTACAAGAATCCAATAGAATGATCGAAGGTGGCCATATGTTTACCATACTTATTTTCTTGAAACGTAAAATAAGGTATGAATATTTTCTATTATAAACTAACATGGAACAGCTTTCCGAATTAAAATTAATGGTGTTTTGGCATAGCTATGACTATCTTAAGCATTGATTTGTTGAACAGATTTTCATATAAATAATATCGACTCAAAAAGTGGGATTACAATTACAGTCAGAAGCGTAAAAAACAATGAAGGAGTCATTTCCGACCCCATAAAGTATATATATTCTTGATCAGCATCAAAAGCTGAATCGGTCTAGCTATCTCCGGACAAAATCTATTTTTTTGCGAAAACTTCGAATTTTGCAAAAAATGATAAGGGGTTACATAATTAAAATTGCCAAAAATTGACAATTTTCTTGATTTTTTTAAATTTTATTTTGAGTATGCAGATTTATTACCGCACTAAAAACTAACATGGGACAGCTTTCCGAATTGAAATTAAGGCGTTTTTGGCTCAGTTATGACTATCTTAAGCATTGATTTATTTACAAATTTTCATATATAGGTATAAAAATAAAGGTATAAATAATTCCGGCTCAAAGAGTGGTATTATAATTTTAGTCACAAGCCAGCAAAATAATGAAGCAGTATGCAGTTTTATTAACAACATACAAAATAACGTGGAACAGCTTTCCGAATTAAAATTAATGCTGTTTTGGCAACGTTATGACTATGACATTGATTAATTGAACAGATTTTCATATAAAAATATAAATAATATCGACTCAAAAAGTGGGATTACAATTACAGTCAGAAGCGTAAAAAACAATGAAGGAGTCATTTCCGACCCCATAAAGTATATATATTCTTGATCATCATCAAAAGCTGAATCGATCTAGCTATCTCCGGACAAAATCTATTTTTTTGCGAAAACTTCGAATTTTGCAAAAAATGATAAGGGGTTACATCATTAAAATTGCCAAAAATTGTCAATTTTCTTGATTTTTTTAAATTTTATTTTGAGTATGCAGATTTATTACCGCACTAAAAACTAACATGGGACAGCTTTCCGAATTGAAATTAAGGCGTTTTTGGCTCAGTTATGACTATCTTAAGCATTGATTTATTTATAATTTTATAATTTTAGTCACAAGCCAGCAAAATAATGAAGGAGTATGCAGTTTTATTAACAACATACAAAATAACATGTAACAGCTTTCCGAATTAAAATTAATGCTGTTTTGGCAAAGTTATGACTATCTTAAGCATTGATTTGTTGAACAGATTTTCATATAAATAATATCGACTCAAAAAGTGGGATTACAATTACAGTCAGAAGCGTAAAAAACAATGAAGGAGTCATTTCCGACCCCATAAAGTATATATATTCTTGATCAGCATCAAAAGCTGAATCGATCTAGCTATCTCCGGACAAAATCTATTTTTTTGCGAAAACTTCGAATTTTGCAAAAAATGATAAGGGGTTACATCATTAAAATTACCAAAAATTGACAATTTTCTTATTTTTTTAAATTTTATTTTGAGTATGCAGATTTATTACCGCACTAAAAACTAACATGGGACAGCTTTCCGAATTGAAATTAAGGCGTTTTTGGCTCAGTTATGACTATCTTAAGCATTGATTTATTTACAAATTTTCATATATAGGTATAAAAATAAAGGTATAAATAATTCCGGCTCAAAGAGTGGTATTATAATTTTAGTCACAAGCCAGCAAAATAATGAAGGAGTATGCAGTGTTATTAACAACATACATTATAACATGGAATAGCTTTCCGAATTAAATTAATGCTGTTTTGGCAAAGTTATGACTATCTTAAGCACTGATTTATTGAACAGATTTTCATATAAAATATAAATAATATCGACTCAAAAAGTGGGATTACAATTACAGTCAGAAGCGTAAAAAACAATGAAGGAGTCATTTCCGACCCCATAAAGTATATATATTCTTGATCAGCATCAAAAGCTGAATCGATCTAGCTATCTCCGGACAAAATCTATTTTTTTGCGAAAACTTCGAATTTTGCAAAAATGATAAGGGGTTACATCATTAAAATTGCCAAAAATTGACAATTTTCTTGATTTTTTTAAATTTTATTTTGAGTATGCAGATTTATTACCGCCTAAAAACTAACATGGGACAGCTTTCCGAATTGAAATTAAGGCGTTTTTGGCTCAGTTATGACTATCTTAAGCATTGATTTATTTACAAATTTTCATATATAGGTATAAAAATAAAGGTATAAATAATTCCGGCTCAAAGAGTGGTATTATAATTTTAGTCACAAGCCAGCAAAATAATGAAGGAGTATGCAGTTTTATTAACAACATACAAAATAACATGGAACAGCTTTCCGAATTAAAATTAATGCTGTTTTGGCAAAGTTATGACTATGACATTGATTTATTGAACAGATTTTCATATAAAAATATAAATAATATCGACTCAAAAAGTGGGATTACAATTACAGTCAGAAGCGTAAAAACAATGAAGGAGTCATTTCCGACCCCATAAAGTATATATATTCTTGATCAGCATCAAAAGCTGAATCGATCTAGCTATCTCCGGACAAAATCTATTTTTTTGCGAAAACTTCGAATTTTGCAAAAAATGATAAGGGGTTACATCATTAAAATTGCCAAAAATTGACAATTTTCTTGATTTTTTTAAATTTTATTTTGAGTATGCAGATTTATTACCGCACTAAAAACTAACATGGGACAGCTTTCCGAATTGAAATTAAGGCGTTTTTGGCTCAGTTATGATATCTTAAGCATTGATTTATTTACAAATTTTCATATATAGGTATAAAAATAAAGGTATAAATAATTCCGGCTCAAAGAGTGGTATTATAATTTTAGTCACAAGCCAGCAAAATAATGAAGGAGTATGCAGTTTTATTAACAACATACAAAATAACATGGAACAGCTTTCCGAATTAAAATTAATGCTGTTTTGGCAAAGTTATGACTATCTTAAGCATTGATTTATTGAACAGATTTTCATATAAATATAATATCGACTCAAAAAGTGGGATTACAATTACAGTCAGAAGCGTAAAAAACAATGAAGGAGTCATTTCCGACCCCATAAAGTATATATATTCTTGATCAGCATCAAAAGCTGAATCGATCTAGCTATCTCCGGACAAAATCTATTTTTTTGCGAAAACTTCGAATTTTGCAAAAAATGATAAGGGGTTACATCATTAAAATTACCAAAAATTGACAATTTTCTTATTTTTTTAAATTTTATTTTGAGTATGCAGATTTATTACCGCACTAAAAACTAACATGGGACAGCTTTCCGAATTGAAATTAAGGCGTTTTTGGCTCAGTTATGACTATCTTAAGCATTGATTTATTTACAAATTTTCATATATAGGTATAAAAATAAAGGTATAAATAATTCCGGCTCAAAGAGTGGTATTATAATTTTAGTCACAAGCCAGCAAAATAATGAAGGAGTATGCAGTGTTATTAACAACATACAATATAACATGGAATAGCTTTCCGAATTAAATTAATGCTGTTTTGGCAAAGTTATGACTATCTTAAGCACTGATTTATTGAACAGATTTTCATATAAAAATATAAATAATATCGACTCAAAAAGTGGGATTACAATTACAGTCAGAAGCGTAAAAAACAATGAAGGAGTCATTTCCGACCCCATAAAGTATATATATTCTTGATCAGCATCAAAAGCTGAATCGATCTAGCTATCTCCGGACAAAATCTATTTTTTTGCGAAAACTTCGAATTTTGCAAAAAATGATAAGGGGTTACATCATTAAAATTGCCAAAAATTGACAATTTTCTTGATTTTTTTAAATTTTATTTTGAGTATGCAGATTTATTACCGCACTAAAA